TTTTATCGGCAGAGAATAAAATAAAACCTGTCTTTCAATTCATTGTATTTGTGTGTGTGTGTGTGGTAGAAGTATCGGTTTTTGTACTCTGTATCGGCAAGTACTCAGATCCAAGTATCGGTATCGTATCGGTTTGAAAAAATTGGTATCGTTGCATCCCTAGTTACAATCATCATCTACGCATTAATCTACAGGTGTTTACTTCCTGTTTTGTTTTTTATATTATTATAATCAAGAAGTTATATCAAAAAAACTACTTAGTGAGAGCAAGGACATCCAGATTCAAAGACCCATGACAGGCATGACACAGTGATGTGTGCCTGTGTGAGGATTGTCCCTCCTGTAGGTTAGCTAATTGAGGCAATCTAAATAGTTTAGTGCTGACTGCGTCCTCTGTATGTCAGGGCTGGGGGGACAACAGGCCTCAAGGGCCGGTGTCCTGCATCAAGATGTGTCCTTGATCCAACAAAGCTGATTTAAATGGCTAAATTACTTCCTGGTATGAACTAATCCTTTGATTCAGGTGTGGGTGACCCAGGGTGAGATCTAAACCTGGAGGTTTTTGCTTTTCAAAAGGTGAGTTTCATTTAGTTTCATTTTATTAAAGAGTCATCGATCATCTCCAAAAACGGCGCAACTCAGACCAACTTTGATTCGGGGCTGAACTGTTCCTTTAACTACAGCAGCACAGCTAGCCAGCTGGATCAGTAGTGAGCCAACACCAGCCTAACAGAGCAAAAGATCAGGGGCAAAGATAGAGACAAATTTAGTGTGAAGAGAAGAAGAGACAGAAAGGAAGAACAGTGATGAGGAGAAGAAGGAAGAAGAAGAAGAAGAGCAAAGAATGGCGACAGGAGGAGGGGCGTGATGGGAGGCTGGTTTGTTTCATGGACCTTTATAACGCGGTCTAGCCGAGTCAGACACACTCTGACGGCTGACACACACTCCTGCAGCTGCCCCTGCTCCTGGTGCTGAAACACACACGCATATATGTGTACACGCACACGCACACAGTTCAAAACACAGACACACACAACATTTGTCAGTAGATTTCTTTGTTGGTTTTTTCTGTACACACCAAGTCATTTTTGTTGGGGTTAGTTAGTCCATGTAACCTCATGCTCGTGTCACATGACCAGTTAATTTCAATATTAGGTGGATCAGTCTAATTCTTCTGAGACACTAAAGGAAAAGCAGGCTTGCACAATATGGCCTTGACTCATGAAGGGAGGCTCTCGTGAGTCACTGCAGTGACTAATGTGCTGTTAGTTTCATCAGAGGTAAAACGCTGGCTGCCTCTCATTGTCACCTTGCTTTGGATCATAAGTAAGAGTTT